AGACAAATCAGAACGCGAGTGGGGAAGGCAGAAAGGAAAAAAGTTGAAAGAAAGGGAGAAGGCAAAAATCATAAGGATGAAGCTAATGGAGGGAAGGAGGGAGGAAGAAACGGTAGAAGAAAATGGAGAGGAAAGAAAGAGAGCGAGCGAGCGAGAGAGGAAGGGAGGGTAGGAAAAAAGGAGGGAGCGAGGGAAGGAGGGAGGGAGGGAGGGGAGAAGATGCGTACACGAAAGGGCTGGCGGCTCGTTATCACGTCGCCTGTCATGCCAACGTAGGGGTTGTTGGAAAATTCGTCCCCCGCCAGGTCGAGAGAGAAGAGGAAGCTGGGAGGGAGGGAGGGAGGGAAGAAGGGAGGGAGCGAGAGAGTGCCAGGGCAAGCCGTCAGGAGACTTGGAAAAAGGAGGCATAAGAAGGACCCTAAAGTCTCTGTTTCGACCTTCTTCCACGCCGCTCCACCTTTCCTCCCTCCTTCCTTCCCTCCCTCCTTCCTTTGCCTCTTCCTTTCTTCCCCCCTACCTGTGCTTCGCATGTTTGATGTAAAGTGCCTCTAGGCTCAATTGCTGCGTCTTTCCCGAGAGGTTGATGGTCTGAGATGGGATGAAAGGAAGTTTGAAATGGAGGAATCGCCGGGTCAAGAGGGAAGAGGAGGGAGGGCAGGGGGGAACAAGCCTGAGAATGAAATGCAAAGAGACTAGCCAAGCACTTTGAAAGGACAGGGAGGAATGGTAGAGCATGAGGAAGAGAGGGAGGAGAACGAGAAGAGTTGTGAGGGAGGGAGGGGCGATCAAGATGGCAAAGAAGAGAAGATAGAGGAGGAGGAGGGTACAGGTGGTCGGGGATAATAGATGCGGGAGGCAGCACATTCCACGAATCCAGCACACACACACATCCCAAACAAATTAAAAAATGACCCTGAACAGAATGGAAAGCCCCCAAAATTGCGCGAAACGGCAGGGTAGAGACACCGAAGGGGATGCGAGCGAGAGCGCGTTCCGTCCTAAAAAGCTTTCACCTTCCACCCGTACCTTGTCGGGGTTTTCTTTCTGGTGGCCTTGAGTCACGGAGATAACGAGGTCAACGCCTTCTTGGCTGGGATCAGCAGGTTTGGAGTGCACGTCGGAGGACTGCGAAGCAGGGAAAAAAAGGGGGGAGGAGAAGGAAAAGAGAGAAAGGATAGGGTTGAGAGAATGATTTCCAGTGTAATGCGTCATACATACGTGGTACCAGGCTCTCTTTCCCCGAAAACGACCTGCCTCCACCGCCCTAAGGTCATGAAGACCGAGAAAAGAGCCGAGAGCTCACCGAAGAGGGGGGAAGGGTCTGCGGCCCATGGGGGGGAAGATTGTCTTGGCTGAGGGCAGTGACCGCTTGGGAGCGTCCGGCGCGTTTGCCTTGTAAAGGGGAGGGAAGGAGGGAGGGAGGGAGGGAGGGAGAGAGGGACGGAGGGAGGGGGGAAGGGAGAGAGGG